GTTATACCGGAGCCTTTTAGTCCGGTTTTACTATCCCATACTAACTGTCTGTGTTCGGTGTCATAAAATCTAACCAGCACAGGTCGGGTTTTATTTTGTGAGGCTCCCAATCGATGACAGACCTTCAAGCAATCTTTATTCACATCAGGCAACTGCAATTGGCTGGATATTAATTCATACACTACATCGATAAGGTTCTCATTTTGTTTTTCGGGCAGCCCATGAAATAAAAGCACTTTCCTTCTCATAGCCGTTTCATGCCTATCAAGCCCAAGGCAGAGTAATTGGATTTGAGTTTTCATTGCTGAGAGAGATTGCCAAACAAAGGATTTAAATTCAGCAAACTCACGTGCTAGTGATGATAAATCTGTATGTGAAGAATTGCCCTCCATGTTGACTTTTTGCAGCTTCTTTTCGTATTCACACATTCGGGATCCAAACATTTTTTCAAGTTCAGAGAGGTTATTTGCCAGTTGAACATCCATTGTTGACATAAAAATAAGTCTTCCAGATATCTTTTAATTAAGGAGAAGTAGTGAGCAGTGAGTATAGGTGAGTCTAGTTAATTCTTATAACATATATATATATATTCACAATAAACATGTAATAATGATTTTAATTAATTTAAAATTGAGCACACTAAATACGCGTGTTTACGGTACGACTACCCGCGAGTAAGTGTAAGCAAAGTAGTTATCTCTAAGACGTTTCTTGAATACCAACAAAGTTTCGGAATTTCTTATATTATTTGACGGTAGTGAGTTCCATAATCTTACCGCGTGAACTGCTTGTTATAATGTGTGCTTTGTTATAACTTTACAATTAGATTGTCGTAAAGATGGATAAAAGTAGGTACAAACTCATTAAGCATTTCTTGACGATATTATACAACTTTGTATATCTTTATACTTTTTTAGATTGAGGCCGAACGAACGTAATTTTTCGAGTTGTGAGTGATGATATGATTGAATATGATTTATTTCAGAACCAGTTATCATGTGTCAGAATAAGCACCATCATTCCCTAGATATTTTTGTGAATTCGGAACGACCAAGGACTCCTTCTGCTCTACACCCTAAAGTAGAAAACACCCGGAGAAAGATAAACATCGCTCTGAATGTTTACATTGCATGGCTATCCAACGAGAAGAAAAGGATCAAAGAAATGACATTTTAGCTTCATCATTATCATCATTATATCCCTTCACAAGTCCACTGCTGAACATAGGTCTCCCTCAAGGAATGCCACAAAGCACGGTCCTGAGCCACCTGCATCCATCGACTTCCTGCATGTCTTACCAGGTCATCATTCCGTCTAGTGGGCCTACACTACGCCTACCGGTACGAGACTGCCACTCGAGAACCTTTTTTCCCCATCAGTTATCGGTTCTTCGGGCCGAATGGCCGGCCCATTGCCACTTCAGCTTACTAACACATTACATTGGTCTATGTCGATTGCCCTGGTTTTACTGCGGTTTCTAAGTTTATCGCGCAGAGAAACCCCGAGCAAAGCCCTCTCCATAGCTTGCTGAGCGACCATGATCGTCCTCATACGGCCAGCAGTTAAAGGAACATGTCTCAGATCCGTAAGTCATCGCTGGCAACATGCACTGGTGTACAATCTAGTTTTTAGGTTTTGAGGTATACCTCACGAGAAGATGTGTCGTAATTTCTCGAACGCTGCCCAGTCGAGTTGAAATCTCCTGAAGACCTCTCGGTCGAAGTTAGACTTACCTGGTCAGACTATTTGTCCCAGGCAAACGTACTCGTCAACAACTTCGAGCTTAGTGCTCCCAACAACTACCAGCATAGGCGTGACATGAACATTACACATGATCTTTGTTTTGTCCATGTTCATCTTAAAACCTATACGTTAGGATACACTATTGAGGTCATTGAGTATATTGCTTAGATCCTCCAACGATTCCACCATAAAGACTATATCGTCGGCAAATCGAATGTGAGTAATGTACTCGCCATTGATGTTAATACCTTTCCAATTCAGTAGCTCGAAAACATCTTCCAATGCGGCAGTGAAGAGTATGGGTGATATAACGTCAACCTGTCTTACACCTCTCTGCAGTTGAATATGATTCGTAATGACTCGAAAACAGCACTTAGCATCGTAGCCCTACTGTACAAACACTTCAGCACTTCGATATACCGACAGTCAACTTGGCACCGCTGAAGGGACCGTAGCACCGCCCAAATTTCGACGGAATCAAATGCTTTCTCATATACGGTTACGGTTGTTACCGGTTGGCGGTACACGCCAGGTAAAGTGGCAGATTGTACTCTTCGGTCTTACGTACAATCTGCCGCAGGGTATTTATGTGATCTATGGTACTGAAGCCTTTTCGGAAACCGGCTTTTTCGGGAGGCTGGGAGTCGTCGAGTCTGCGTGCGAGACGATTCGTAATGACTCTCGAAAACGGCACGCAGACGCGGCTCAGAAGGGAAATCGGCCTGTAGTTCTTCAAGAGAGCGTAATCGCCTTTCTTTAAAAACAAGAGCACTGCACTTCTGCATCAAGCCTCCGAGTAGTGCCACCATGAAGGTCGAAATTGAAGAGATTTTGAAGGACTTTAAGTACCGGTTTTCCGCCCGCTTTCAAAAACTCCGCTGTAATTCAATCTTCACCTGGGACATTGCCGTTTTTAACGTGATAGAGAGCCTTCTTTTCTTGCTCAGACTGACTTTCGGGATATCATCGGAATAGTGTCGGATTAGACTTGCTCTTGAATCGTTACTCACACTTGCGTGTGGCTCCAACGATAATATGTTCAGCAGCTCATAGAAACTCTCAATCTCACTCAAAATCTCAGGTGTCCCGGAAACGGTGTTGCCACACTCATTCTTCAAAGACTTTGGAGCCCTAGTTCCATTCGATCGCTTCTTCAATACGAGCAATATTAAAGTTGCGTAAGTCTCGCCGCATGCAGTTGGAGATCTGTCTGTTCAGTTGCCTGTATGCTGTCAAATCTGTTGACGATTGTAGCCTCATCTCCCGTCTAACAGCCATGAAATTAAGAGTGTGATCGGAGAGTTTTTGTGTTCTTCTGCGGCGGGTCTTGCAGAACTTAGCTCCGACCGCATGGACAGTTTCCACGAGCTTGTCATTCATATCGTCCACTGCATTGCAATCTTCTAGGCACTGAAAGCGGTTACGTAACTCGAGTTGAAAGGTTTCGGGATTCTGGATTAGAGCACGAGGGGGACGGAGCGTTGACTTCTTTAGACGAGACCTCTTCAACTTAACGTTTAGGTTCAGTGTACCTTTAACCATTCGGTGATCACTGCCAGTTTTCATCCATGCGATCAGTGAGACATCACTGAACAGTTACCGTCTCGTCTTCATAATAAAGTCAATCTCATTTTTTATCGTACTGTCGGGCCTCGACCAGGTCCACTTTCTGTGGAGCCGTTTCAGGAAAAAAGAGTTCATTATAAAGAGTCCCTCCTTCTCCATGAAGTCGGCCAGCTTTTGGCCCCTTGTGTTCCGTTGCCCTAACCCAAATTTACCTACCGTCAGCTCACCTTTCTTCCTTTTGCTTAGGTTAAGAATTGGTACCCACATGTTAAACATAATATTACGTTTTTAATTAAATACTTTACTGATAATAAATAATAATACAAATATGATAAAGATGTTTTATTTTCTCCGAACATGAAATACAGTAACATAGGAAATCCAAATCGAATGAGTCTCATAACGTTAAGCAAGGTCCGAGACACAATACATATAATAAATAAGCCTAAAATACTCATTTTTTTTCGGTACCGAAATTATTTCGGTAAAGGTATTAGTAAAATATAGGTATAACGATACCGTAAAAAAATATAGGTATAATTCTTTTTTTTAACGGTACCACAACCGTAATTCTCAACCGTTTTGGTTCTACCTTTAAATCGAAGCTGTATCGTAATTCTATACCGGTACCATACCCTTATACCTTTACCGCTTTCAACCCCTGCGTCAAAGTCATAGGTTACATTTCCTAAGACGACTACGACAACAGAAGTTAATACGATAGATAGGTAATTAGATGAAGCCCTTTGACGTCACCAATGTCAACAGATAATACATAAGTAGATTGTAGAAAGACACATTCCTACACATGTTTATTTACTCTACGAACTATATTTTTATAAGAACGTATTATAAGTCAATAATTGTGTAAAAGAAATCAATTAATTAATTTTGCTTATTCATCACAAAAATGTAAGTTTTCATGAAAGACTTTTCTGCAAATTCCAGCGAACAGCGACATGTGGACTTGATAGAGTGATAAGAACGGACTTCCAGGTTGCAGTTACTGAACTATGATTTATTCCGTAGTTACAGTAGCTTTCCGACAGAACACCTTTGAAGAGGCCTTGACTTTAAATTACGATGAGTCTGGGTTTTTGTTTCCTTTTCTTTTGTTTTCTTCTTTACTTTGTGGCCACTATTTAATAATTTTTATAAAATTTAAAATTCATATAAACATTTTAATGTTAAAATAATTTTATATTATTTTTTGCATATTTTCGCATAGGGTTATATTATGTAATGAGTGAGGCTCACAGAAAATGTACCATAACACACAATAACTTGTAACACACGATAACACACTGGAATTGTGTAACACACTGGAAATGTTGTTAAGCTTGATGCACATAAAGCAATAAAAAAATTGAATTTCAAATAAAATACGATTATAGATAGAATTATTTATTTAATAAAACAACTTAAAAAACAGAGATCAAAATTTGTACTTAGAATTACACAATCGTATTATTTTGGCATTATTTGAATATATATATATATATATATATATATATATATATATATATATATATATATATATATATATGTGTGTGTGTGTGTGTGTGTGTGTGTGTGTGTGTGTGTGTGTGTGTGTGTGTGTGTGGTATATCTACCTACTTGTAAATATTCTACTCAAAATAAACCTTATCGCTAGGATCAGCTAAAAAGTATTCTTTTGGTCGTTTTGTGTTTTATGTTATTTTAACCTGCTTAACTATTAAATCTTCAGTTACAGTGTCTTCATCTTTTATTTTGTGAATTACAAACTTTAGCTCCGGTTTTTTAATGGTTTTCAGAAATCGTATGGTAAAATAAGATTTTCCTTCTTTTTTAAAACTGTCTTCCAAGAATCCTATGTAATACTTCCACGCGGTTCTTTGATAATACCTTACAAGTACAGTGTCTTTGAAAGATAGCCTCCATATGTCTGTATTAATTTTTGATGTCACTTCCGAGTCATTTTTTGCATTGTCAAAGTTATTTTCATCATCCTGCAGAGTCGTAGCAATCACAGATTGTCCAGCTAAATTAGTTTTAACTACTCCCTGATTTTCATTAGAAAAAATGTTTATTTCTCTTGTGTCTTTACTAGTGTATGTATTTTTTTTATCTTCATGGCTTGATTGTTCTATTTTTTCTCTCTCTATTTTACTTGTGTCTCTTCTTTTTCTTAAATTTGTAACCTTCTTCTGTTCTTTTAATTGATTGTTTTTGCAAAAATCACAGTCTCCGTAAACACATTCCTTTGACTTTGAAGAACATACAACCATACTCAGTAACTCATCAAGATCTGTTGTTGCTATTAATCCAATTGACTTCAATGACGTGGCTTTCATTTGCAAATTTTCGTACCCCTTGCAAGCGCAAGTTTCTCGTTTCTCGGCTTTTGGTGGTAATACATAAAAGGGTCTGTACCTTTTGAAAATTGAAAATGATAATTTTCCTCCTTCTCCTCTATTTTTCTGATATAATTTATGTAGAGTGCCAAGCAAATACTTTCTGTTTTTTTTTTTTTTTTTTTTTTTTGTGTCTTTACTTCGTTTTTCCCTGCTGTCATCCTACTCACATCATCCATTTCATAAAAGTTTCTTAACTGTGTCTGTATTAATGGGCTTTTATTTTTCTGTTTAGTGTGACGAATTTTTCCTTTAAGACCTAAATAGGTAGCCATCTTAGTTTTCATACCGTATTTATTAATGTTATCACTTTTGGTAAAAACATCTTTAATCGTTTTTGTTGTTGTTTTCGTTGTTTTTACTTTTGTAGCTGTCTTTTCTAGTGTACACTATTACATTATGTTCTAGCAAAACCTTTTTCACGCTTTCTCTTTCTTCAGGTCGAATACTGGGTAAATTTTGGTCAATGTATGCGCACGTTTTCGAAACGGGGGTCATTTCTTCAAGGGCTTCATATTTTTTGGCAATTGGGCTTGACCCGTCTTCAAAGCTACGAATCATTTGGTTTTTCTCCTCAATAATTTCAAGTAACTTTTTATTTTTTTCATAGAACGGTTTAATCTTTGCCTAATTTTTTTTCAACGACTTTTTATATTTTTTTAATTCCTCTTCTAGCTTTGTGTTTTCATTTTTCAGTCTATAAATGACCCTTCTATTATAATTTCTCTTCTGTGTTAAAATTTGTACATGTCCTTCTAAAGGCACTACTTCAGGCTTAGGTTCTTTCTTACTTTTCTTCTTTCTCTCTCTCCACTGCTTTCTTATGATTTCTTGATCAGATGAAAGATATTCTGCTATTCTTTTTCTATTTCTTTTTGTTCTTTCTGCATTTTGTTTTTGTTGTAATTTAAATTTTTCAGGATTTACTTCTTTCAGCCGTTCTCGATAAAGTTTCTGCCTTTCTTTAGGTGTTAGAGGCATCTGTAAAATCAACATGAAATAAAAATAAAAACCATGAATGCAGTTACATTTTACTTTTTGTTGTATATTAAACTTTTTTCTGGTTTAAAAACCCAAAAATAGCCTACTTTAATCAACAAATTTATATGGGACCAGCCTGAAGGCATTCTCTATTCACCAAAAAGTATTTTTGAAATCGGTCTACAGAATCTGGAGAATCGCGTAACATACATACAAAAGAAAATAAAAAATATCAGTTGAATTGAGAACCTCCTCCTTTTTTTGACACAAAACATAAATATTTAGCTTTTTCTATAACTAAGTATTGCAATGTGAACTAAGCTTTATACTTTTCACGTGTGTTACGTCACACAACTTTGTAACACACGCAACATACGTGAACAAACACTCGTGAAGAACATAAACTAATATTCAGGTAGCATCTTTACTTGCAAAGCAAATCCGTAATAAACTGCATTATTTAGGAATATTTAATGTCTCTTTCAACTATATATGTTACAAAACAACTTAATGTTATTACTTACCTTGCAAAATTATTTCCAAAAGTCTCGAAAATCCAATGACGAAAAAAAACACACAGCAAGTACTGCCTACTGCCCGTAAACCAAGATGTCTGACAAAACACTGACGTTTCATATTGAAAGTTATAGTGTTGTCATTGTGATAAAAATAGATGACGTGTTGCTATTGCTTCTACCAAAAAAGCTGCTATGTAACACAGCTTTTGTAACACACGTGAATCAGATGGAACACATTTGTTTATTCAATCGTTTTTTAATTATTTTTTTACTAGTTTTATTACACTTATTATTAGAACAGTAGTTGTATGCAATTAAATTTAGCATAACATTAAGAAATCACGATACTTTATTCAAACGACGAAGTAATGAAGAAAAAGAAAATGTACTACGCATGGACACATTTTATTTTTGTATGAAATTACATCTCACCAACTTTTTGTACCAGTTTGTTTTTGCTTCTATTAAAAAGTATGTCACAATTTAAATCGGTAATATTAACAAGCGAATAATGCCCAATACAGAAAATAATCAGATTATTTACAAAGAACTACCAAAAAATATATTATATATTCTTGAATTTTGGCACGTGAAAAATATAGACGAAGTACATTTTTTGTGAGCCTCAACCTAATGTTTTTTTTTTTATTTAAACAAATCACATAATATATATATTCTACCCAATTAAAAACCGTTGTCACTACTCTGCCTTCGCATCCGAACCGAATTGTCCAATAATATTAATTCCTTAGTAAAAAGTAGCAGCTGGATATAATCTCAGACAACATTGCTTGTTATATTTTTAAGGCGCTTCTTCAAGCTATACACCTATATTTTAATATAACTTTTTTCATCAGTAAAACATAGATACATCTTTGATTGATAAGTTGAAAATATAATTTACTTTTGCCTAACCAAATTTAATTATGCAATACTTGCGGGTCCGAAAGAAATGTTGTTATTAAATATTTGTCAAGTTCTCAGCGTTTAGCTACCTATATCCTCTTTATCTTATTTTTATTACTTCGTAACAATTCACTCCTGGACACGGGGCTCTCCTGTTAAAGAAAGGATAGCATTTTTCATAACCTTAATGCTCAATAGACCATTGCTAATCGCAATACACCACCGATTTAAATATTTTCCTTAAAGGGGTGGTTCTACCGCCATCCATGGAAAGCCATGAGAGCTTTCGGTACTTCCTATAGTTGCCTATAAGATATCAACTGGACGAAATATGGTCATGGATTGTGATATATGGCGACATATCAGAATACATCCATACGGAATACTTTGACTTAAAGAACAGGAACTAATTGGAAACTAGAATCTTTTCTCCTTCGTTCAAAGTATGTACCTACACCCAGTGGCGGATTTACCAGCAGGCTTAGTAAGTAGGCTGCAGCTTAGGGCGGCAAAATTCAGACAATTTTTTTATAGCTTGCACAAATTAAAGATATTTAAATTTTAAAAGGGAGGCTAAAGAAATATTTTCTTCCACTGCGTCTGCTAATTGTTGCACAGAAGCTTGTCGCTTCTTCATGTTGCTTCCAAAAATTTACTTTATTTTCATGACTTAAATCAAGAAAGAGAAAACGCTAAAGAGAGTAAATCTGAGACGTTAGTCAGCTAAAGAGGACGCATGTGGACGTTTGAGAGATTCTTGGTACAAAGTCCTTAAAACTTTGGAATAAATCAATCAATGGTGATATAATAATACTGAAAAGCCTGTAACGCGAAACGAAGCGTCAGTAATACTTTTGAATACTGGCTCACTCGGTAATGTGTAGCTTGTCACTGCCCAGGGTTGCCAGAAAGTCACTAACAACGCCCTCATATACGAGTGGTGTAAGCGGATAAGGCCGGGCACGAAGCTGAGCACGAGCCACGTGTGCCCATATGGTAAAGACGGTACTGGTCTAAGGGTAATTTACAAATTTTCCGGACGCAAAATATATTTACATTTCAGTTTACTTATTTAAAATTCTTAGCAATAAAGGTATTAATAGTGTTCTATAAATAAAATATGATATTCCCATAAAAGCTGAAAAGCTAAAAACTTACGCAAATTTTGTTACAATATTATTTTATTTAAAGTAACAGTATACCATGTTTTTTTTTGTAAGCGTATAATTTACAATATTTTTTCGCAGTTGGAATCCATGCAAAGATGCTCCATGCAGATGGATCCATGAAAGTCTACTTACATACGTTAGTTTGGGTCCGAGAAAAATAAAACGTAATCGCGCTTATTAGTATAGTGTGTGCATTTACAATATTATTATTCCCTTAAAGATTTATTAAATCTGCTGTTCGTAACTCAACAATAAATTAAAAATGAAGCAAATTGACAAAAAAAACATAAACCTTTATATAGAACATAAAAAATAATATTGTTAAGTATCAATATTATAAAAAAGTCATAAAAAATTCCCAAATTATAAGGCAAAATCGTATTATCGCTCTCCTGTAAACCTCACTTTTTGAGTTACGATTTTATTCGATTCGTGTGTCGAATAAGATTTGCATATTTTATTTTTCAAACTTCTACTTCTGCTTCTAAAAGGAGGTGAAATGGGGGTAGCAAAGTTTATATGAAAAAGTCGTATTCTAAAAATATATCTCAAAATGATTACATTCAGCTAATTCGGTCTGTCCGTTCACCCGTTAGACGTCGACATCTATCCTCGATTACGAATTAAAATGCAGATGCGTGTTCATCCGTGAGGACTAAGATGGAATGGCTCGTTTCCAGTAAAAAGGGTCTTCACGCTGGTGTTATGTGAGAGCGTGGTCCTTCCCCGGTCGAACCGACCCATTTGTGCTTTAACAATACTACTATTAAATCTGCAGCACCACGTTACGTACTTTTTACGTTTAGTACCATTATAATTCTATAGATGGCGCCGAGCAACGTTTCCAAGTCGGATGGTTTTGTTTTGTCAGACTAATACTGTTTCTTTTTTACTTTGAGCAATAGTTTCTTTTTTATTATTTTAAGGTTCCATATCTTACTTTTTATTCCACTTTTTCACTTTCATATTTTCTCTACTTTTTTCCTTTTCAGTTTATTTCTTTTTCTGTTTTAAATGCCTCGCAAATATAGTTTTATCTTTACAGGAGCTTATCGCGACCCCGACGAATTAAAAAGACAAGAATAAGCGGAGCGATAAGCTGCCTTGAGAGCTGATGAGACACTTTCTCGGACAGGAAAGACTGGAAAACCTGGACGGCCAGGCTTCTACGAAAGCGGCTGAGACATCCTTACAAACGCAATAGGGTATTTTACCCATTTACAAAAATTGTTTTAAATGAATCCCAGAGTGATAATGAACCACTATAATTTTTATATTATTTTTTTAAAACTGAATAGTGTCATAAAAATTAGTTTTAATCTATCGTTTTAAATTTTCACGTGAAAACGCTAGCAGCCATGTTGCG